CGGGGGAGCGCGCTGCTCCGGTCCGCGGGCCGGCCGGCTCTGGCCGCGCCCCTGAGAGCGGCTGTGTGGTCCCTTGCGCAGATGACAAGACCTTCCAGTGTGAGATGTGCTTCAGGTTCTTCTCCACCAACAGCAACCTGTCCAAGCACAAGAAGAAGCACGGCGACAAGAAGTTCGCGTGTGAGGTCTGCAGCAAGATGTTCTACCGCAAGGACGTCATGCTGGACCACCAGCGGCGGCACCTGGAGGGTGAGCGGGCGGCCGAGCGCTGTCACTGCGCAGGTGGGCAGGGCCGGAGGTGCCGCGCGCCGGGCCCTGGGCCCACGCCAGCCCCCGAGGGGCTGCCGACGTCCGAACCGGCCGGCGTGTGCGGGAGGCCCGGGGAGCCACTTTCTCCCCTTACGGCCCCCGCCCCCCACGCCAGCGCTGGCCAGCCAGGAGCAGGCCGCTGCAGCTGGCGTCTCATCACCACCCGCCGGCTCGCCCTGGCCCCGGCCGCTTCGTCCGCGAGGGTCAGTGGGCGGCTTTCTAGCAGCAGGCGTCTGCCCGCGGCGGCCCGCCCCCAGTGTCCTTCCTGGGCCCGGCCGCGCCCCTCCCGGGTGCTCGGTACCCCTGGCTCTGCGCTGAGGCCGGGGGGCCCCGGGGCTAGAGTCACCCCGTGCTGCACCCCTCCCGCCCACCCTCGGCAACCCCGGCGTCCGCCGGCTGCCCACAGGTTGGGTGGACACTGACCTCGCGGTGGGTTGCAGGAGTGCGGCGGGTGAAGCGGGAGGACCTGGAGAGCCGCGGCGAGAGCCCGGTGCGCTACAAGAAGGAGCCCTCAGGCTGCCCGGTGTGCGGCAAGGTCAGCCCGGGGCGGGGCGGGGCGGGGTAACTCCAGCGGGCTGGGAGGAGGCTCGGGTCGCCCTGTGCCGCGGGCCCCTCACTCCCACCGGGCGGTTCCACCTCTCGCTGCAGGCGGGTCCCCAGGGAGTGGGCCCTGTCCCCCTTTGCTGCCCTCCCTGGGGCTCCCCACCCTCGACCCCTGCGTCCCTGAGCCGGGTCCCTGGGGTGCAGGCGAGGCCGCATGCTAGGAGGAGCGGCCGGCCGGGGGGAGCTGCAGGCCGCCGGGACCCGGGGCCCGCCAGCCAGTGCCAGGCAGTCGGGCTTGGACTTTGGGGAGCGACTCATGCCGTGTCCAGAGCGGGCCGCCAGAGTCCCCGCCGGTGAGCAGCCCTGCTGTCCGCCCGCGCAGGTGTTCTCCTGCCGGAGCAACATGAACAAGCACCTGCTGACCCACGGCGACAAGAAGTACACCTGCGAGATCTGCGGCCGCAAGTTCTTCCGCGTGGACGTGCTCAGGGACCACATCCACGTCCACTTCAAGGTCAGGCGCTTGTCCTCCTCGGCCGTGCTGCCCAGGGCGCTGCCTTCACTGCTCACGAAGCGTGGAGCCCGCGGCACCCGTGATGGGGCGGCGGACAAGCGGGCGCTGTGCAGGGCCGCCGGGCACCCCTCAGGCCCTGGTGCTCCCCTAGAGCCGGGCGGGGCCCCCGGGACAAGGCGGGCAGGGGCCAGAGGGGTCCTGGGCACCCCCCCTCGTCGAGGGTGGAGCTCCACCTCCACGCAGTGAGGCCTCCTGGGCTCCTCCTGTGGCCACCAACGGTGAATGAGGGGCCCAGGCCGGCTCCCTGCTACTCCGCCGAGAGCGTCAGCCCGCCAGGGTGAGGTCGAAGTGCTGCTCACCGCCCTGTCCGGAGAAGGGGGGCTTCGGGGTGGCTCCCCGCCAGGCACAGCGGCAGCCGCCCGGGG